ATTCCCCAAATTCAGCTCAGTCAGCTGAAAAAAAAGAAGAACTCTGTTTGCGGGGTTCAACACTTCCGGGGGCTCATTTGGCTCTTTTCCAGCAAAACAAACGAAGAGGACTCACCTGTTGGAGAGCCACCAGCTCTGAGGGGAGGAAGCTGAGGCGGTTGTGGCTCAGCGAGAGCACGCGCAGGTTTGGGAGCCTGCTCACGCACGCGGGGACGTCCTCCAGTTTCTTCCCGTTTAAACCTAAAGACGTCGACCGTCCGTACAGAGCTCGAACAACTTGCTCTTTGACTGAGAAACTTGGCGTGTCCATTTGTCCGCCTTGGAGGGACTGGGGGACTGGCTCTGGCCCCGGGGAGTTGCCATGGTGACGGAAACAGGACGCTCTTCCGCGTTTCACGCGGCCGGAGGGCGACATCTAGTGGCCGGAAGGAGGCACTGCAGGGGTTTTTTAAACTGGAGGAATGTCAACTTTGTGTTTCTAAATAAGTGTGTGCTTTTGTGTGGTGGCTCAAACAGGTGAAAAGAACACATTTCTTGCCTCGAATTAACCTTATGAAGGTACTTGTGGTAGAAACACAGCAGAACGACTCATTTGAATCATTCCAGTGCCTAAAAAGCTGTGTGGATGTCGTCTGGTTCCATCGCCAGTTTACGTCAAATAAGTCCTGTAATCCTTCACTCCATAGTTCCTTCAGCTTTCTGCAACTCCAAGGTTCATTGCCGATGCTCAGAGGTTTAGAAGATATGCTAAAAATGTCGTTTATTAGTCTGTTTTGTATTTGGCCAGAAGGCGATTGAGCTGATTAAATGGCAAACTGCCACAATAAAAGCCTAATTCATCATTTTCTGTGCAGAGGATTGACACATAATAACTAGGAGGATGTCTCAACTCTTGCCTCCTGTCCCTGGGACGGGGCGATAGAAGCTCTTCTCTCAACTGAACAATGTGGGTCCACACCTACCCACATAACCACCTGCCTGCTTGGTATGGAGGGGATCTTTTTATATGCAAAGACCATAGGAGTGTTAGTAACCTGGGCCTTCCACAGACGCTATCAGATCTGTTTTAAGCATTTTCTGAGCCTTCAATTTCAAATCTGGGCTTTCTCTTTGAAGTTAAACCTCCAGACAGATAAAAAATGTCCTCTCAACTCAGTGCATCTCACTTTATTACACATGTTCATGTACAAGCGGCATGATTTACAAGATCAACAAAAGTTGAATCGCCTCCAAGAGCGCAC